GTATGTATGTACTCTCTCCGTCCCAAAATTATTGTCCACAGACAAAAAAACACACAAATTAAATAAACATTAATTATCACGAACTTTATACAATAAAATAACAGTTTTGTACTTACTTTGTATTTAATGTTCAATTAAATGGTTAGTTGGTTAAGTAATAATGAGAGATATTTTGGTAAAAATGTTTTTTATTTTTAGAAGTAGATTATTATTTTGGGACAAACCAAAAAGAAAAAATAAATATAATTTTGGGATAGAGAGAAGTATAAATTAAAGATGAAATGTGATGAATAACAAATACCGAATAAATGGTTTTCTAAGTTCCCATTAGCTATGTAATCATAGATAATTCCCTTGTGGTTGCCTTCATTGCAATACCCAACGAGCGTAGTCAAGTTTTTATGATGAACACTCATGAGAAGATTGGCCTGTTCATAAGAGAACTTGTTCAATTTCCATGCAACTTTCACTGCAAAAATTTTGTTGTTGGTTTTCATTTTAAGCATCTAATTTATGTGTGTGTGCTCGTGTTTGTGTTGTGTATGTATGTATGTATGTGTATGTATGTTTGAAATTTGCTTTAATTGTTGTTATCGATATGATTAAGAAAGAGTATGCTTTTTTGTGAAGTAAAAATGTTCCCGTAATTAAGTTGTTGGTTGCAACTATGGATGATAGATCCAGGAGTGTCTTGTTATTTTGGCTAAAAATAAGTTATTCAAGGTGGGTCATGGTTCAAGATCAAGGAATGTCTTGTTATGATTAAAAACAATTTGTTGGTTGCAACTATGAATGATACTCTCCGTAGTGATGCTTTATTGGATTGATGAATGATTTGAAAAGATCTTGGAAAAGTTGAAATTTGATTTTGATTGTGTTCTTTAATTTGATCCAACGATATATATGTGTGGTCCCCACTCTATGAACCGAACATTACCTCGGCCTGAAATTCTTTGTCCCCTTGTTGAGATGATGCAGAAAGCATCTTAACAGCAACTTGAACATCACCGATATAACCATGGTAAACTTCACCAAATCCTCCTTTCCCAATAACAACTTTGAAGTTGTCAGTGATGCTCTTTATCTCTGAGTATGTGAACTTTTGTCTTTTTATCTCCAACCCATCGGTGCTTGTTTTGCTTTTGTCTGCATGCAAATTACTTTGACAAATTAAACCTGTCCGTATTTCGTGCAATTGTGACTTTTAATTAAAAATATATTTTGTACAAGGTTATTGTATGAAATTGAATAGTTTCTCGATCATACCTTGAGCTTTTTGTTTATTAATTATCCATATGGTGGTGATTGCAGTCAGGATCACAAAGAGAGAAACAACCGTTGCTATTACTGGAACAATGAATTTTTTATCCTTCTTGTTTTTGCAACGATTCATCACACAAGAACTTGCATCTTCATCTGTACTCTGACCATCGAAACTGATTTTGAGGCATAAATGTTAAATTCTGAAAACAGTGATTAATAGTATAAAAATTCCAGTCATCGCACGTGGAAATTAGTAACAAACCTTATTGACAATGATCCGTTCTTTGACTTTGCTAGAAGCTCCTCTGGAATCGGCCCAATAAAATTGTTTCCTCTTAAATTGCTATAACAAACAGTAACCAACATTAATTTATTAATAATTCCAAGCAACAAGATTTCTGATGCATGCTAGTTCGAGGGTTAGATAACTTACAGGACTTTCAAGAATTTCATTCCAGACAGAAAATCAGGCACAGTTCCTGTCAAGTTATTGTTGGACAAATCCCTGAAATACGAATAAAGAAAATGGCACATACAGTTTTAGGAATTAACTTTTGTAAATACTTTATTTTAATACATCTTGCTGAAAAGAGTGTTTGACTTACAAGGTTTCTATCATTGTGAGATAAGAAAATCCACGATCTATTTTTCCTTTAATTCCACTTGTAGACAAGTTCCTGATTCACATTATTAAACGGTAAATAAATAATATCAAGAAGGGAAAAACCGTAACTTTCAAGAGTCATGAAATTGTATGCATACAAGAATGTGATCCTAGACATCTCCGTATCATTGTAGCTGCATCTGAGACCATCCCAAACAAATTCCTGTGGTGCACATGGATCTCCTTGCCAATTTCTGGTTACTCTGTAATAAGATTTAATGCTTCCTATTGCAGCAACTAATATCGAATGTAATGAAAAGAGAAAAGAACATGAGCTGCGTCAAGTAATATTGATTATTATAAATAATATATGAAAGATTGTAGACATACCATCATGGTGATCTGTTTGCCTTTGTGGGAGCTGCTTTAATACATAAAGCTCAAGAGCGTTGATGATGGGTGGAAGAGTTGAATTTTTTGTTTTATTTATTATGAGTGTATATCTTGGTGCTATCGTTTCAGGCACTGTGCTATAAATACTGGCTGCGTTCAGATATATCGGAGAGAAAGGTCCATATGTGAGATTCCCGTTGAGATAAATGTTGAATTCTCTGGTCTGGTTTTCTTTCAGTAATTCAACCTCAGCAAAGTGCATGTAAATGAAAAATTTATCGTTGGTATTGAAAGGATCCCACTCTATTATAAATGGATCATTAGGGTTTCTTGGCGTGGCAGCAGAATTCATAACCTCTGATGGCGGGTCAAAGACGTTCAACAACCCTACAGACACTTGTTCCCGAGTGTATAAGAAAGTACTATCAGACCAATTAATTGGACTCCATACTCGATCATACTTGTCATTGCTATACCTAAAGCCGAGAAACAAGAAAAACAAAGTTACAACTTGAATGGTGGTAAAAAAATTAGAGTAAATTACACGAATGGTCCTTATGGTTTAGGGTAATTAGCATTTTCGTCCCTAACTGATTTTTTTAATTCGGAAGGTCTCTACTATTTGTTTTCGTTACGCAATTGGTCCTTGTCTAAAAGGAGTATTATGCCCTTATTTAAATAAATTAAAATAGTCTTTTAGGTAAGATAAGTTGAGGTTGGGTGGGGTTGGGGGTGTGTCTTTATTTAAATAAATTAAAAAATCAATAACAAAATAGTCTTTTTAGGTACGACAGGGACCAAGCGCGCAACAAAAACAAATAATAGAGACCTACCGAGTTAAAGAAATAAGTTAGAAACCAAACGCGTAAATTACCCCAAACCATAGGGACCTAATTTACTTTAAAAATTAGTTTTTTTTATAGAAAACATTGTATAAATTTGACCTGACTGTTCCAAGTGTGGTTCCTAAATTTGCACGTGCATAAAGGTATAATGATCCAAAATCGGTTTCTTTATACATGTCGCCTGCTACAAGCCGTAGTTCTATGGCTGATATGAAAGGAGTCCCACGACCTATATTTACCAGACAAAGATGAATGTAATCTGTTGATGAGACATGTATGATCTCCATTTTTATTGGTTGAGATGACGAATTGAATTTCATGGTATCCCAGTATTCAGTTCCAAGATAAACATCGAATTCTGGAAGTTGACCCTTCAAGTCATAATTCCCATACATAAAGCTTGCCCTTATGAGATACCTGTTACCCTTTCCTTGGGTTGGGTTTAGGGTGTAGCAGTTTCTGGTGTTTTGTGGAAAACTTGTGAGGGTGGTAGCATGTTTATAAATGTCTAACGAGTTATATGCGGGCATTATGCTATGAATTTCGCCACTATCTCTGAATTCAGCATCGGATATGTAGTTTATGCCTGTTACATTATCGGTGTATGTTAACCCTTTGGCAATCCCACAGTCTATGCTGATGAAGCCTGCAATGGGAGGGGAAAAGAGGTTGATCAAGAGTTTATATAATTAATTAATTAGTATTTAGAGAAATAATGCTTTCGTACCTGATTGATCATTCTGGGCATGAACCAATACACCAAGAAGAACCAATATTGTAACAAGAGATTGGAACTTCATTTCTATACCAAGACATTACATTGAAGTTATGGTAACACCTTAATTATACATGACGCCAATTGACTTTTGAGGCGTTTGGGTGTGCAAATTGACTTTTGAGACTTTTGAGGTTTTAGTTTTTGGTGGATTGAACAATTTCTAAACATTTAACTATTACGGTGTCATATAATCAATTTAGAACCAGATTCAAAACAAATAACCCTACTAAGACAAAATTTACTATATATTAGATTACTATAAATTACTAAATTGATATTTATATTTTGACTGAATTTTATTAACAGCAATTATTGGTATTACAAATGACATTAAAAGGAACTTTCGTTCTAATGAACAGTGTTTCCAAATTTTATTTTCCCACGCTTATCTTTATAAAAATATCATTTTTAGTCTTTCAACTTTAAACTTTATAAAATTTCAATTTCATCCGTTCTATTTTTTAAAGTTTTGTGTTTAACCCTGTAGTATATACAATTAACATCTCTAAACTTTGTAAAATATCATTTTGATCTTCTCGGATTTTAACTTTGTAAAATGTCACTTTCACATTTTTGACTTTCTAACCTTTCGTATTTATCTGAACCACCGAGAGTTTAGTAAGTGGTATCTACTTTTATTAATACAATCGTTAAAATTCAATTTAGAAAACGGATTGGATTGGCGCTACAACGCACGGTGGGCAAATTACTAGTTCCATTTAAAACTCATTGATAAATAACATGTAAAAGGTATATTATAATGGACAGAAAATAATTTTTTATATCTTAAATTTAAAATATAAACGATATAATGATATATTGGAATGTTTATTGTGGTTATCTTATTTATTATTATTTTTAATAATCAAAACTAATCACATATAATAATATTTGATTGCCTGAACATTATAACTTTAAATAATTTTCATATTTTAAATTTAAGTAATTCAATGTGCCTTGATTTATTAAATCTTTATATATGTCAAAATTTGCGCGACTAAAAAAACATCACTAAATAATATCTTCTACAAATTATCTATTAATTTCTATTATTTAATAACTGATATAAAATAATTTAGAGTTTCTAGTTTTGTTAGCAAGTAGGTGGGGCAATTTTCCTTCTCAATCCTTCTTGTACGCTACACTTTTTTTTTTTAGGCAAATCTAACCTCCTCCTATAAACTACACCTTAAATCCACCTATGTCCACGACGGGACTTGAACCCTCAACCCCAAGGAGGTAGGGCAACACCGGATACCGCTAGGTACACGGTGGTCCTAAAACTGAGCTTGCGTCAACGATGGTTTAAAATTCTTTCCAATGGGGTTAAGTTGCTCAAGTCAAGTTTCTTAGAGTGGTTGACCATCATTATCTTAACTATTTTCAACCATGTTATTTGATTAATAAAACTGTGGAATATTTCGTTTCAATTTGGAGTGAAACACGGTGTAATTTCTAGATGATATGATACTGTATATTGGATTTAGTCAAACATGGTGTAATTGGAGCTCAAGTTGCCTCTTTTCTATCTAGGGCAGACACAAGATTTTATAGTAGGTGTGACACAAAAATTAATTCACTATGATGGTAATTGGGGATATATTCTATTATAATTTAGTTCTTTTGTCAACAGCATATAAATACGTTTAAATGAAAAAAAGACTTTAAAAACATTTTTAATGTATAAAAATATATAAATATGTTTTTCATATATATTTATTAAATTTATATGTATTTTTTACGTATAAATACGTTTTTATATGTATAAATATGTATTTAAAATATATTTATATATGCATTTATTTAATAATATTAATAATAACAATTTTAAAAAATAATATATTTATTTGAGTTTTCAATAAAAAATAAAAATAAGAATAATAGATTTTGCAGAAAAGTCTCAATATTTTAGGTCTTTTTATGAAATAGTCACAAATTAATTTGTTACATGTTGAACCATAAAAAATGGTCAGAATGCAACCTTTAACCGGTTTTTAAAACTTTTTTGTGAAAAATAATAATAATTTGAAACCGTTTTGTAAACTAACCAAAAATATTAGAATCTTTCTAAAGATTTCCCTAAAATCAAATGATTATGTTAAATTATATTTTTGTTTGAACTATGAAAAACAATAATAAAACTAACTAGGGGACTTAGGTAGCAACTATTCATTGTACAATAATGAAATGTTGACTTTTTTTAGATCAAGTTCTTAATTTTTTAAATAGAAAGTTTATGTATTTTACCTATGAGGTAACTTGACACCAACTATTTATAGGTCTTAAGATTGAATTTATATATTGTGGATACTAAATAAGTAAATATGTCACCCAAGGTTTATTGTCCATCTTTTGACCTTTTAAAAAAAATCCAAAACGAACAAGATTAAAAAATCTCAAACGAACAAGATTGAAACATATGTAATACATATGTACGTATATGTGGGTAATGTGCATGGAAGAAACTACATGAGGAGAACAGTACCAAATGGTACATTAAAATGAAAACTGAATATAAAAATAACAAATAAAAAGAAATTGAATGTAAAAATGAAAAAGAAAATTGTTGAGAGGAAGAGTTAAACCAGTGACCTACTTAAAGAGGTAAACTTTACCTTACAACTTAGACCAACTCAGGCTTATTAACTTTTGATTAAATTTATGAACTGTAATAATAATATACTCGTTTTTTTATAGGTGCACACTAACAATTTTTTTTTTACATTAATAGGAAAAAATCCAATAGTTGTCGGTGCAACACTGTGCACCACCACAGGTCCGCCCTTGCTTCCATCGCATGTTTGGGTAGTTGTTCATGGGTCACTTACCAATGATTTTCAATTCTTTCGGAGTTCGTCAAGAGGATCCATTATCATTGTTGTATTGATTTCGACAACTGACTGTCAAAATATTGCTATAAAAGAAACGATTGGCATCAATATCTTGTTGGGTTATGATGATTATTAAAGCACAAAGCAACAAAAGCATGTCATCTATAAAAAAAAAACTTAGTCTTCATATTCCATCATTGATCTTGTTCTAGTGACCTTTAAGTAACATAAATAACAAAAAGAGTTATATATTAAATACCCTTGTAGCCTTTGATCAAACGTCATTTTGGTGTACTTTAGATGATCTAGACTCTAAAGTAGAGTTGCTCTAATGAAGTCGCACCCCAAGAAAATGATCTAGCAATGATTGACAAAACTCCTTTTTTGAATGTCAAAATTGTAAGCTCCAAGTAGACGGGAAGGACTGTCGATCTGCACCATAAAGCCTTGGAAAAAGGTGTAAGAAAAATAGATATGGATCAAAGGAAGGATTAAACCATAAGAGAGAGGAGAGACCGACCTTATATAAGGGACAACCCCCTCTATGGTTTTATCTCTTTACCTAGTTTCTAATTAACTGACCCCTAACTTTTTTCAATTAATAAAATAACTCCTTTATCTTTCTATTTTGTCAAATTAGCTTAGATCATATCATGTGTGTAACCCAAAATAACCCTGCTAATTATAGAAATTTACGAACATTATATGACCATTAACATATTTTTAAAAGTCTCTCACTTGCACATGTGACAACAACTTCATAGTTCTTCTTTCGTTACCCTAACAAGGTGTCCATCATCCAAGACTATAACTATACTCATAACCTAGATCTATAAATAGTCATTACTAACTGATCAAATATTAATTTGTTCTATGATATTCTTATGAACGTAAGACATGGGTGTGTATCAATCAAACTGTAACATCCAAAATTTCAATCCAAAATTTTCATTTTTAAAGTAAGATCAAATATCCAAAACCCATCCTTTAAATACATAACATTATAACCATTTGTTTCAAAACCATAAATCATAATGTTGAACCTTCGTTAAATCATAAAAAATAGAGGATCTCAAAATAACAATATAACACCGATGCGAATGTCCAGTTATGTTGTGCCCTTCCTTTCCATGGCTAAACAACCTGAAAACATTAAACTAAACAATGTAAGCATAAAACTTAGTGGGTTCCCGAGTATGCCACACATTCCACTACACATATAAAGTATACCACATAATGCTTCACAACCTTGCATCGTTATTCCAGACGCACAGTCTCATACTATTTTGTCAACACCTAAAGATTCAGAGCCTCATATTGATCTGTCAGACTCAAAGTCTCACACTAGTCCGTCAACATACCATACAAGTCATAAGAACAAATCACACAATGAGGAAAACAATAAATAAAGACTATGTTAGACTAATCACACATCTGTACTCCAATAGTACTGTCAACCATCATACAAACTATACCAAAGTTTATGCTAATATTAATGAGTCACCTTATGAATGCATAGTCATACGTAGTCGACAATAAGATAGATAGTCTAACAGATGATCTTACCCTAAGGCAACAAATCAGAAAACAACCACACCATAAGGTCAAATTGAGAGTTCTAAGGCTATCTGATTTTAAATACGTTCAACCCCTAAGGAATACCCTCATTACCTAGCAATATTAACACAATACTATTCTAGTCTATCAGATAATTATATACTAAAATCACACATACATCCTACTACAGACTGAACATATACTATTACACATAGCATAGTGAGAAAACTCAACTGAATCCAACAACCACAATCTTAACAGTAGTCTCCTATGATAAAACAGTTAACACAAACCACCTAATACCAACTAGAGGCCAAACCTTAGTCTAATACTAAAATACATCAAAGTTTGACTAAAAAGAAAACGCGTTAAAATTCAAAGGTTAACGGTCAAAGTGAAATTTAAAATCAACGCCACTTCCACTACACAACAAGATATTCATGACTAAACTCTGGAGATGCGTCGCGACTCATAACATGTGCATCGTATCCAAGGCCAAAACAACCTCTTTGGCTAAGCTCTTAATCCTTTATGTCAAATGCTCAAATCTTCCATAAACCTTTAAAAGAACTCTTAATGGATAAAGTTTTCAACTTTATCCATATCTATACCTATAATAAGTCCATTCCAAAAG